AGATACAGGCTCAAGTGGTAAGCTTCTTCAGGACCGCACGCCGCGGCGGCGGCCCAAGCTTCTGGACCAAACCCAAGCAGACGTACGCGTGCTGCGTTTGGCATCAGGCTGGTCGCAGTCAACCATGTCTCTGAAGTGCCAGATCGAGTGGGCTGCCGGTTGCCGCAGACAGCAGTTTTTGTGCGTTCCTGACCTGTGCCGTGACGTTGTCCTTGGTAGGGATTTCCTGACGGTGAGTGGCATCTCTCTGCACGTGTCACTTGGTGGGTGGACTGTCGGCACAGAACCACAAAGAATTGTGCCGTTTGTCAAGGCCGTTAAGGAACAGCCAGAGGCAGTGGACGATTTTGGAGACAGTCTGCGCTGCATTTTTGCTGAGAGCGATGCCACTGTGTGTGCCAGTGTGCCGGAGGCGACTGCAGCCTGCAATGTGATAATTTCCGGCCACTCGTCGGACCTAGACCCACGCATGAAAACACATTTTAGAAGCAGTTCAGCGAAATCTTCACCACAACTCCGGGCTGCACAACCCTGGCAGAGCATCGCATAGACACGGGAGACAACCCACCTGTTCGAGCAAACTGCGACCAGTGAATTCCAAGAAGCAGGCCATCATGGACAACTGCATTCAAGACCTGCTGGCACAGAACCTCATCCGCCCTAGTCAAAGTCAGCATGCCCAGTGCTCCAGTCCTGGTTGAGAAGAAGTCTGGTGGCTACCGCATGGCTGTGGATTACCGCCAGCTATATGCACGCACTAAGGGTGCCAGTCTACCCCATGCCGAGGACTGATTGGTTTGCTGGCACAGCTGGGACGAGCCAGGTGGTTCTCAAGTTTTGATCTTTCACAGGGTTTTTTTCAAATCCCTGTTCAAGAGCAAGATATTCCAAGACAGCGTTCATTTGCCATCGGGGAACCTTCGAGTTCATGAGAATGCCCTTTGGAGTTGCCGGAGGTCCTGCCACGTTTCAGACCCTGATGGACCGACTACTGGAGGGAATTAATCACCAGTTTGCCATGGCGTTTCTCGATGATGTCCTGGTGTATTCGGAGACCCTAGAGGATCATCTTGAGCATGTTCGGGAGGTGTTGAAGCGGATAAGTTCGGCACAGCTGACCATTAACCCAGAGAAGGTGCACGTGTGCTGTCAATACCTTAAGTTCCTTGGCCATGAAATATCGCCCGGGCAGTGTAGGCCGGACAAGGAAAAAGTGCGAGCGGTGCTGGACTATCCTCAACCAACAACACTCAAACAGCTGCAGGCCTTCCTGGGACTAGCAGGCTATTACAGAGGGTTCATACCTCAGTTTTCTATCACTGCACGTCCACTCACAGAACTCCTTAAGAAAAAGCAACGTTGGCGGTGGGAGCTGCAGCAAGAGGAAGCCTTTAGAGCACTTAAGCAGTCCCTGGCCGACGATGTTGTTGTAAACTTGCCGGACCTCAACAGACCATTCGTGGTGGAAACAGACGCCAGTGGAGTCGGCATTGCAGCGGTGCTTCTGCAGGCAGCCGAGAGTGATGCTCAACTGCGTCCAATAAGCTTCATTAGCAGGGTCCTCACTGAGGCAGAGCAGCGCTATACAGTGCAAGAATGGGAGTGTCTGGCTGTGGTGTGGGCAGTGGACAAGTTCCGACCATACCTTGAGTTCACAGAGTTTGAGGTACACTGTGATCACTCCTCACTATCCTGGATGTTCACCACAGACCAGGCCTCACCACGTGTAAAGCGTTGGGTTTTGCGGCTGCAAGGTTTCAACTGCAGAATCAAGCACAGGCGGGGTCTTGCAAATGTGCCAGCCGACGCCTTGAGCAGAGCTCCCCTTCAGCACCAGGAAGTTCCAAGCCCGAGTCTACACGAGACGCTGTTCCCTATGGCTGTTCCAGAGCCCAGCCCACAAATCAGCTTTGAGGCAGCTGCTGTAGTATCTGAAGTGGACGACACTACTGTCTTGAATGATGCAGGGCTCCTCGCCCAGGAACAAGAGCAGGACCCCATACTGTCAAAACTACGAACTGTGATGAAGGGAGGAAAGCTTCCGCCCACTGACAGTGATCAACCTTTGATAAAAGACCTGGCGGAGACGACCGAGATGGAAGAGAGTGGGTTGCTTGTACAGCACCGAGGGAACAGGAAAGTACCTTGGCTACCAAACCATCTCTGCAACTTGGTCCTGCGACTGTCCCATGACCACCCGATTAGCGGCCACTCCGGCTTTTTTAAGACCCTCAACGCGTTTCTCAGAATTTCGTGTGGCTGGGTATGCGCTCGGACATATCCAAGTATGTGCGATGCTGCCAGGTTTGTCAGCGCACCAAAGCCCACCGGCAGAAGCCAGAAGGGCTGATGAGCAGTCAATGGGCCACTGCCCCTATGGAACAGCTCAGCGTGGACATAATTGGGCCCTTGCCTATGACGCCTCGACGCCACAAGTACCTTCTCGTGGTGATTGACAAGTTCACCAAGTTCATTGAACTTTTTCCATTGCGGGCAGCAAACAGCAAGAGTGTGGTGGCCTGCATGATCCAGGTTTTTTGCAGACATGGCACACCTGTCTCCATTTCAAGTGATAATGGAAAGCCGTTTGTAAGCAGGTTGTGGAAGGGCCTCCTTGAGCATTGGGGCATACAAGACCGACACACTGTTCCGTACCGCCCTGCCGGGCAAATGGTGGAGCGCCACAATGGCATTATCAAGCAGTGCCTTAGGGCTTATTGTTCCAACCACAAAGACTGGGACCAGCACATCCCTGAAATAGCCCTGGCCATGCGCACGGCTGAAAGCGTTGTCACGGGCTACACGCCTGCCTTCCTCTGTTATGGCCGGGAGCTGAGAACTCCATGGACACAGGCTGAGGCCAAAGATGACGCGGAGCCTCCTGCAACAGCATACCGTGCATTTGCTACTGAGGTCTCCAAGTGTCTGCAGGAGGTGCTTGACTTCTCCAGGACACACCAAAACCACATGTGGCGCGCCCAGAAGACTCGCTACGACCAGCACAGGCGGCCACTGACAATACGGGAGGGTGATCTTGTTCTGCTCGAAAGCCACTCCCTCAGCGATGCCACCAAGGGCTTCTCCTCGAAGCTTGCACCCCGGCGTTCCGGTCCCTTTCGGACAGTGAGACGTGTAGGACAGAATGACTTTGTTCTAGTGGACCCCAAAACGGGTCGTCGCCACGGTGTGAGACACGCAGATCAGCTGACACTGTACCATGACGCTGCAAGCGATGTGTAGTGGTGGCTTCACATTTTGAGGGGGGGGAGACCTGTGAGGGTGGCCGAGAGAGGGCGTTACGTGACGGCATCATCATCATCAGGACTTGGCCGAAAGAGGACACTACGTGACGGCGTCATCATCATCATTGGGACTGGTGTGGTGGGGGTTGCGTGTGTGGGGAAGGGAGAGTTCGGGCTGGTTGGAAGCCGTGGCAAGACGTAGCGGTGTGTGGTGTGTGAGTTAGGGTTAGCGCGTGACAGTGCAAAAATGGGGAACTGTATGAAATTAGTGCAATTAGCACAACTGTTGCACCCCTGCGTAGTGACATTGACCTTCCTGACCTTCACAGTTGGAAGCTCCACAGCACAGTGCCAGCTCATCTTTTGTGATTTTCCATCACAGCTCGGGTCGCGTGACACGAAGCATTCTCTGACCAATCTCGAATGAAAATGTGGTGCGTCTGCTCACCATTGGGGTCTCGTGCATGTGCACTGCATTTCAGCCCCCAGCATGTGCCTTGCACCTTCTTACTCATGACACAGTGGCATGCAGAGGAGCAGAATAAATGGGAACATTTATGACATGTGCACACTTGGTTTTTTAGCAGCTCTGGCATTTTCATTTTCATTCAAGTGTGAATGCTCCAGGACCTTTTCTTTTCTTTTTCTTTTTCATGTCAACTTCACAGCGTAGTTTTCCGGCTGCGTGGGCAGTGAAGTAAGTGAATTTTTGGCGAGTTTTGCTGCTTTCGCTCTCTTTGAGGCCAAATGTGAACGCACCTTAAACGTCAGGAGCATTAGCGAGGAAACCGCGGCACAGGTTTACTTTTTTCAGACAGCCTTCTTAAAAGACAGCAAAGGCAGAAATGTTCAAAAGAACATCATGGACTCTTTCACGGAGAAGTAGTTGACCCCAATAAAGTTCTCGTTCATCTTCCCGATCAGCTTTTACTTGTTTTGGTTCATACAAATTTAGGATGATACGAATATTGTGCATGCTCCCTTCGGACTCTTATCACTTAGATTCTACTGTATTCCACTTGTACATCTTACAAAATTTATTAAGCCTATTTTTTTCAATAGTGATGTCCAAGTTCTAATGCAAACATATAAAAGTTGCATGCTTTATAGTAGAGACTAGCATTGGTTATAAAAAAAAGAACATCAGGATGAAACACCTTCAAAGTTTTTAGCTCAGGCACTAGCAAAATAACAAACAAGCAAAGGAATCCCACACAAGCAAAAAAAGAAAATTTATGCACAGTGTTAATCCAAGCCACTGCACACCGTACTCATGTGTTTCTGCATTTGAAAGTGTGAAACACATGCAATGCAAAGGCACATAAAACATTTCAGTCACTATGCTGCAGTGCATTCTCCTTTGCCTTTAATGAAAAAAAAAATTTTTCTTATATATGTCTGCTGGAGAGAAAAAACTTTAAGGCAGTTACAATACGTCTACAATGTACGTAGCATTGAATGGGCAAATGCAATGAACACTGAATGAGTATTGCAAGCACCATATTACCATATTAATTAAAAAGTAAAGCAAGCTTTTTTCTATTTTTGCCACCTAAAAATAATCCCGGCATCATAAATAAATACCGAAATAACTATTTTTTGTCTCTGAACACAATTAAAAGTCCCCTCTTGTGTTACAGTCATGGTCGTATTACAATAAAAAAAATACGGTGCTCTCTGCTGCTGTGTAACAAACTATTCATGACGACTTGAGAAAAAACCATATTGCGCCACTACATGGATGAATTAGCCACGAACCTTAGTTGTGAAGTTCAGGAAGAAGTTGGTCTGGTCAACAAGGAAGAACTCCAGGGCTGAGCGACGCAGGTTGTAGCGTCGTAGATGCACCTCTCGCAGCATGTGCAAGGGATATGTGAAGTCGTGTCTTTCACCTGAACATAATTGTTTTTGGACACATAAACTATGCAACATCTTCTTTGGAAGAAGAGTTGATTCTTATAGTTGAGAATCAAACAGTTATTCATACACACTCATATGTAATACATGCAGATATTTTATCATCGCATGTCAACACCATATGAAGTGTTTTTGTTTTGTAATAAAAATTACCAGATTAACAACTTCTCATGAAAAGCTATTAAAAAATTTAATCCAATCAGCCATCAGTGGGCAAAAGATCTTTCTCGACGTCATTGCTTTAAGCACTATTTTCATAGTTTTGTTCTTTTTAATTCCTTGAATTCCTCTATCCGACAACTTCATCCATCCGCTTTGCAATTACACTTTCATTGGCACTATGCATCACAGAATTAAATTACAATAATACAGTAGAACAAATAAGTGTAAATCAGCAACCAAGAATTACTGCAAAGACAAAAATGCTCAAATGGTGATAACAGACTTTAATCCACACTATAGTTGAACATCTTACTTTCTTTGAAAAGCTTTAAAGCTGCATTGTGAAAGCTTAGTAGCACTGCTAAAGAGAAAAGTCAAACATGCCATTAAAATGAAGAGCATTAGCATTAATTAGGTTTATGTATCACTGCGAAATGTTTCAATCAATACAGCTTGGCAGGTTGGTGCTAATGCATTTGCTGGAGACTTAATTAGTGGAGAAAAAAAAAACGGTAGTGTCTTGTCCAGTCCCAAGTTTTTTTAATTAGGTTTTTCACTCAATTAAATGTTTCAGCAAATGTTTCAAACAATGAAAATAGATATTTCTAATGTTACACAGCTATTTAATCGATGCACATTTTTAATGCAATTTTTCGGGGTTTAAACAAAGTAAAGGATTGCACAGTAATAAAATTCACCCCAAGTTGTGGCTCCACCCACCTTCTTCCCTCACTGGTGAGAGGTCAATGAAGTAGATCTGAGTTGCAGTGACCTCAAATCGGCCTTTCACAACCTTCATAAGGGTGACAAGCTCACAGTCTTCCTCTATCACCGGCTTTTTCTTATCAATGATGCCATCAGGATTTTCCAAGCTGAAATAAAAAGCACTCTCTTTAACAAAAAAAAAAAGAAAGCCAACCATATGTATGATAGTTTGTTGTTTACAATAATGATCAGTACAAGCTCATAATGAAAAATGCCCAATTATTGCCGTTACAACAACTCCATTAGGTAAAAACCGTTAACAACAACTGAACAGACTAGTATAAAAAAAACTGGCAACTGCCAATATAATTAGCAGTTTCTGGCATACTTGTCGGCGGGAAAGAGCAAATATATAGACTGCGCTTGTGCGAATATTTGAATGCATATTACTTTACTCGAGCTTGCTTCGACTCCAATTTTAACTGTTGAAAATCTCCAAGTATTGAAATGAACAAATATGGGTGTTATTAGTACGCATGTAACCTCCTGTAGCATACCATGGCAGCACTAAGCGAAGGACTGGGTTAACTGGCGGGACATGGGAGAGGCCTTTGCCCTGCAGTAGGCATAGTCAAGCTGATGATCATAATGCTAATAATAATAATAAACCCACTGTGAAGGTGCTTTCACTGCCGTAAAGGTATGCTAAATCATGAAAACACCTATTCAGAATAAATCCACACTGCCGCGAATTCTACTTCCAAGGTTAAATGAACATAGTAGCCTCACACTGACTCATATCTTTTATTGCGATAGCAATTATATAGCCACTCTTGGCTGAATTTTGCTGCCGGCGTCGGCGTTGCCGTTACTCACCGTATATGTAAATATATACATGAAAATGCAAGAAAAAAAAATAATCCAGAAAAAGACTTCGGCACACGGAATCGAATGTGGGACCGTTAAATTGTGAGTGCGTGGCATTAGCCAATGAGCTACGAAGGAGCACCTCCTTCAATGTTCAAATCGCAACCTATTATATATCTACCACTTACCGCTGGTGACGGGCATCTCGGGGAGAACTATCGTGTTTTCAGCATTACCAGCAAGATGGTGCAATGACCGCGTGTTGCCACATTGTCACGACGCAGCGGCGCGTGCTCCCATCTCCCACGCGTATTTTGCCTCGTGGAGAAGGGGCAGGGTGGACCTCACGCATGCGCTTATCTCGCAATGGGGACAATCGTACGTCCTGGCTGGCCATTGGCTTTCACCAAAATGATTATGTTGTAGTTACCGGGCCCACAAAGGTCACTGCAATCATTGCACAGTCTCCGTTTGCGAAAAGGGCACGGTTTTCAGACACAATGAAGTAACAACTGAGACGCTCATGTGTGTTCATCTGTACCTGCGAGTACATTTCGTGTGTCATTATGCGTGAGAAACGTGGGGCACATTTCAATCTGCTTGCCATTCTGTGCGTAACCTTCCAATTTGTTGCTATCTCGTTCATTGCTTTGCCTTTGCGGCAAGCTGTGACACTTTTAAGTTCAGAAACCTGTTATACCAGCTCATATGCTCCATGTAAACTTTAAAATGCAACATATTTTACAGGTTATCTCTAGCATGCTAATGAAAGTCAAATCCTGCTACTATTCAAAGTTGTTCCAACTTACTTTTGACCAAAAAAGGACAGCTTTTTAACAGGCCCTGTTTTAATTTTTTTAAAATATTGTGCAGGTCAGTTGGCTCATGACAAATATGCTCATTTTTCTAGTGATATCTGACATTTACTATTTGAATTTGATTCGAAATTACTCGAGCGAAATCCCAATTCACTTTAAATTTGCTTCGATCCTAAAATTCACTACAGTCGAACCCCACTATAACAAAACTGACAGGCCTCGCAGCAGTGGTCTAATGGCCAAGGTACTCGGTGCTGACCCGCAGGTCGCGGGATCGAATCCCGCCAGCGGCGGCTGCATTTCTGATAGAGACAGAAATGCTGAAGGCCCGTGTGCTCAGATTTGGGTGCACGGTAAAGAATCCCAGGTGGTCAAAATTTCTGGAGCCCTCCACTACGCGTCTCTCATAATCATATGGTGCTTTTGGGAGGTTAAACCCCACATATCAATCAACAAAGCTGACAGGGCGCAGAAAAAATTTCGTTGAAGCGAAATTTTTGTTGCAGTGGAATCGAAAAAATATAGCTCTGATTTGAGCTAGCAAAACAAAGGAACTTTCATTCCTTTATTCACAATCGAGGGTCGCTTCTAATCAAATCCAAATCACCGCTACAAGCCCGGCTGAAGTATCGGGGGTCACTCAGTTTACTTCTCCCCAGTCCTCCACCCCACCACCAGACCAAAATATAAAAATGTGCTAAAAAACGCGAGCTGACGATTTGGCAGTGGAATTGCAGGAGTCAACAAACAAATCGAACAACATTGCCGGACTCTTCGTAAGCAGCAATGAGATGAGATGCAACGCAACGGATGAACAGATTGGCATCGGTAACACGTGGCACCTGCTCCGGCACCTGCTAGAACCAACCAAGAACAAGTCAAAATCAAAAGGACACCATGCGCAGAATAATACGTACACATGCTAAGGAGAAAGAATAAATCCTTGCGGAGCTCTGCGACAGATACGCCCCGCAAAACCCAGCTATTCCACACGGGTAACACACGGGAAAGCCCAATCCCTATCTGGGCAGGGACTTTGACGAGGCAGAAATCTGGACTGCTCTGCAAAAGGTCAACAGCAAATTGGCCCCGGGACCAGACAGTGTAACCAATAAGGCCCTTCGTAACTTGGAAAATGAGACATTCTCCGAAATGACTAAGTACGTCAACGAATGCTGGACCTGAGGGTCCATACCTGATCAATGGCAAAGAGCAAAAATGGTGCTCATCCCCAAGGCCGAAAACCCGCAAATCTTGCCAACCTTCAGTCCCATATCGCTTACTTCGTGCGCCAAAAAGGTGATGGAACACGCCTTCTCAGTCGTATCAACGAACACTTGGATGACATTAAAGCGCGACCGGACACCGTGCTCGGGTTTCAAGCTTAACTGTCCACGCAGGATGCAATGTTGCAAATCAAACATCAGCTTGACAACAAGACCAGAAGTACAAAGGCCATTTTAGGATTAGACCTCAAGAGAGCCTTTGACACCATAGCTCACGCAGCCATACTATGCAAGATGGCCACACCAAATCTAGGCAACCGAACATACAACTACGAGAAGAATTTTCTCACAAACAGAAGTGTCTCCTTAACGCTGGGCAAACTCACATCCAAAGACAAGGAGGCTTGGCAGCGTCGGCACTCCACAAGGCTCCGTCATCTCGCTGATGCTCTTCAATGTCGTTATGATCAGCCTTCCCGAATGCCTAAACGCCATAGAGGGAGGGCATTATCCCAAAGCAGACGACATTATGATTTGGGTATGTGATGGAAGTGACGGAAGACATCGAGCAGTGGCTACAGACTGCGGTTGAGGTAGTGGAACAATACCTTGTGGGAACAGGTCTTGACTGCTCGTCAGAAGAATCTGAACATCTCCTATACCACCAGATGCTCAAGGGAATGCCTCCCAAGTATTCTCGGCATGCAGAGTACGAAGAAATTTGCGTCCGCACCAAAGAGGGGCAAGAAATTCCTTGGGTCAAGCAGATCAACGTGCTCGAACTCGTAATAGAATCAAATGGTGCCAACGCAGCAACGATAAGAAATCCGAAGACTAAGGTCATGAACTCGATGAAGGCTGATCAGAAGAATTACGAATAGGCATCGGGGCATGAAGCAGGCCAGTGTCGTCAGACTTATTCAATCCTTCATGATTAGTCACATTACATACATGACTGCCGACCACAATTGGTACACTGCTGAAAGACCAAGTTGAACACCCTCATTAGAAGAACACACAAGATGGCGCTGAGACCTCCAGACAGCACAAGCACGGAATTTTTCCTGCATTGGGCATGCACAATATGCTTGAAAAGCTAATAGAGGAAGACCAAATTTCGCAACCAGACAGACTAATTAGGACACGAACGGGCAGGAGTATCCTGGACAAACTTGAAATAGCCCATCACAAGCAGCACGGCGATAAGAAATCCCTCCCCAGCACGGTCAGAAAAAAGCTACGTGTGGCTAACATACCCAAGAACATGCACCCCGAACTGAATCAGGGTCGAAGAGAGAGCACAGCCTGATCTCTACTACGAGCCTTTGATAAGGACAAGAAAGCGCTGTTCATAGATGCAGCAGAGTATGCAGATCTACGTGCCTTCGCAGCGGCAGTCCCCAGTACTGACAAACAATTGGTCAGCTCGTGTAGTGTACGCAGCAAACACGCTGAGGTAGCGGAAGAAGTGGCGATAGCCCTAGCCATAGTTTTACCCAATAACCGATATATACTAAGTGATTCACAGACAGCGGTCAGAAATTATGCACAAGGCAGAATTTCGCCAGAGGCCGCGGCTATCCTTAAAGCCAACGCAAAGTGTATAACCTTCGAAGAGCCAGAAGAATGGCATATATGGTTCCCGGCTCACACGTCCGCCCAACTGAATATCACTACCTCTTCTTTCTTCAAATGATGCCATGTAACCAAACCACTGCACCATATCTCCTAGTCTACGGCTATTAGCTGAGTTCAACATCATGACCTCCATAGTTATCGGGGCCGCCGGAAGATGCTGCCACGTTTATCACACTAATAATAAGGCATGCGTTGAAAGAAAAAAAAATGCTCATGGAAAAGACGATGGACCATCTTGCCCCCATGTCATATCCCCCCCTACATGGATTTTAGCACGCTCGCTGGTACCAGAGGAGAGAGAAAGTGTTTAAAGTGAGTGGCAAATCCTTTAATTTTGCTTGTACTTGACAGATACTAAAAATTTTTGTGGTAGTCGATCCATAAGGCAATAACCTTTTCTAATGAAGCCATTCAATGATTAGTTGAAAAAATATTGCAGGGTCGTTTTTGCTCAATTGCCTAGGCTCGTTCTTAACATTCAACAAAGACATATTTCCACGCATGTTTCTTATTACATTTTGATGTATTCGGTTTTCACCAACAAAAACTGTAAGCAATGCTCGGCACAAACTGGGCCTGAAGTGTTTGAGAAGCTTCAGAACGGTAGTAGATAATTTTGTTAAGATTGCGTGCATGATGCGAACACTCAAGCTTATTCCAGAGCTTTTGCAAGCCCCAGTGATAAGACTGGAAAGTTCAACACGTGATCCATGAAACATGGTACATCCCATCGATGATCAGATTATTGACCGCCAACGCTCTGTTCGCCATTATCTGTGCCGGTGTGTTGCTGTAGTCTCACCTTCAGTTTCTCGGCCACAAGTTTGGCCAAATGAAAAGCTTCTTTCTCGACACGCCGAATGTTGCCCTCGTCAACGTCATGACTTCGTGACAATAATGCATTTCATCCTTTATGAAATCCAACTGCTATACCGGGAATTAATGCCCCAACCTCACAATTAGTAAGAGAGCACTATAGTCAATATTGCCGCTACGGAGTGCAATGAAAATTTCGAACCTCAGCACTACTTTCGCTGAGTTACTCCCTTTCCACCAGCACTTCCCACCAGATTTACATTAAAAGATTTTGTTTGTTTGTGACCCTCCCAGATGGATTTCAAGCCACTGCGAAATGACCTTACTCATAAAGGTCATCACTAAAGACATCATAAAATCATAAAGACATCTGCATGGAAGACACACACAAAGAAAAACAGATCAACTCACTCTTGCACTTGTCCTTGAAGAGCTTGGATGTCTTCCTCAGCAACGATGTCTTCTTTTTGCTGCATGGCTTTAGCCTCAGCCGTGATTGGTGGAAGACAACTTGTGTTTTGGTTTGTCAGGATACCTGCCAAGAGCATGAGAGAGGTTTGTACAATACATCTGTGAACAACACCTGCAATGTTTTTGCCTCATGAGAGCCATCCCAACACTGCCCAACTACTCTTACTGAATCATGTTGAACTGGCTTCAAGCATAACGGTACTGCTTAAAGTATGGTGGTGATTTCCAGATCCGTAAATTCAGCACGAAGTGGTCACAAAGTGCCAGGAGTGAGCAAATGATTACTTAATATGCCATACAGAAAATGTTTTTTCAAAGAAAAGCCATGAGTTGCACAATAAAATAATTGCTTAGACTAGAGCTGTGCTAATAGCATAATTTTGCGTGCGAACCAAATTCGAAAAGTGAAGTGGAAGTGTGAATAGAATATTTTTCAAATATTTCTCAAAAAATTCTAGAGTACCGTAATTACTCGAATCTAACGCGCACCTTTTTTCCGGTTAAGCGAGTTCATAAATCGCATGCGCGTTAGAATCGAGTACGAACAAAAAAATTACGGTCAATCTATTGCCATCGCAAATCCAAAACGGCCGCCCCCTACGTGCGTCGGCATGGTGCGTCGGCTATTTCTGCCTATGTGTTTACCATGTGCGGCACTTCGTACGTGTGCTGAGGAGTTCGTCATCTAGTAGTGCATTAGCATCGACGACGTGGAAGGGCCGACTCCAAAAACTCGAGTGCACCACGATGCCGCTTTTAAAAGAAAAGTCATCGCGTGTGCAGAAACGGACGGAAATCGGGCCGCATCGCGGTCCTTCTCGAAATGTGCGTGCGGGACCGGCGGAAACAAAAGCAGAAGATTGTCGACAGCAAAGCTTCACGCAAAGGCTTCAGTGAACCACAGCAGGGTCGGTTTCCACAAATTGAAGAGCTGCTCCGCGAGTATGTGCTTGAGGAGCGAGTGGCACAGCGGCCCATGAGGACAGAACTGCTCCAAGTGCGGGCTATGCAATTAGTCTTAGAAAAAAGTCTAATGCGGAGCCTGTTTAAAGCGAGCAGGTGCTGGCTAATTAACTATATGAAGAGGAAAGGCTCTTCCCTCCAAAGGGGAACATGCATATGCGAAAACTTTTGCGGAGAAGTACGATGAAAAGCTTCACAGTTTTCAGAGGTTCGTCCTAAACTTGCGGCGCAACAACGGCTACCTGCTTGGGCAAATATGGAATGCCGATCAGACGCCTCTTTACTTCGACATGCCTGGCACCACAACTGTCGAGAAGAAGGGGGCGAAGCAAGTTCGCGTGCTGACATCGGTCCACGGTAAAACTACAGTGACGGCAATGCTCTGTTACACGTCAGATGGGCACAAGCTTCGCTCGTACCTCATATTTAAATGGAAGACAATCCCGAAAGGAATCGTTTTTTCGAGTGGTGTGATCGTGCGGGCCAGCAAAAAAAAAAAAAAAAAAAATTGGGTGCGCGTTGCAATCCATGTCTTACGTTTTTTTTTTTTTTTCGCGGTGGAAATCGGGTGCGCGTTACAATCGAGGGCGCGGTAGAATCGAGTAAATACGGTAACTTTCAAATACTTTGAACCAACATTCTAGATAAAGCAGTTGGAGATGATTCTTAAGCATATTCCTATAACATTGCAACAAAAAGTGTTTCCTTTTGCTAAGCTGATGGAAGCGCTGACAGGTTGGTGTTTCATAGTTGTCTTATCAAAAATGAGGCAATGCAGAGGCCGAATTGTATTTATGTATATAATTTGCTGCAATCAAAGTGTTGCTGACAACACTCTACACGTGAAAAGCATATAGATGCTGTTTCCTCAGCCTCTCATCTTTTTTCAACCTTTGTGGAGTCCCAACTGATGTGACGGACAAGGGTGTTCTCTTTTGTTTGAAGCTCCAAATATGCCTCGTCAGTACAGCGTAGACCACTTATAAGTAACCCCATATAGCGCTGGACCGGTCACAATGCCTTTGTTTATTTTCCAACTCCCATTTACCCTCCCATAGAACCCCATATATATGCATACTGCTTATTCTGCAGTATCCCCAGAATGATAGACCGGTTAGAATGCGGTTGCCGAAAAATCTTTGTGACAAATGCAATAGCAAGTGCACGTCTGAAAGAAGGCACGGTGGGTGCGCCGCTGGGGAGCGAGCGACGAGGTCGTTATGAAAGAGGAGGAGACGTGCAGCGAACGTACGAAGCGCGTAGGGACGAAACAGAAAAGGAAACTTCGTATCACCCACGCTGTTCTTGGTAGTGCTTGAGAGCATCTATTCAACACCAGATCTTCATGCCTCGGCCAAACTTCCCGCGACAAGTACCTAACGGCAGACTAGGCTTTATCAGCTTTGGTTGCATTTCAGTAGCGGTCACATGCTAAGTTGCCGTTTGGTATGAATTCAACGAAACTCTTTGCAATGGCTGCACTTGAAAGGAAGAGATACATATCATTAATGAAAACGGGGATAGCACCTGTAACACTTAAATGATGGTTCGCGATTCGATTGCAACGTGTTGAAAGTGGGTATGCGCCTGTGAAATCGAATGATTGGTATCTTTCAGCGCGTAAAATTTCAGATGCGATTCGACATAGTTCGTGTAATGCGCATAACTGAGGCGATGTGAAAAGTTTAGTCAGCGAATTTTCGCGATGGTGCTTTCTTTTGTTAGACACCCCCTCCCCCCACTCCATCACGTTCATTTTGTTGGCAACGCAGGTTTTTGAATGTTTAAAATTTCTAAACATTTGGAAATTTATATGGTTATAAGCACCCTATATCACATGCTTTTATTCTCAGACACGCGAGGCTGCATGCTCAACACGTTTTGCAAATGTACGGCCCTTGAAAAAGATTTTGTCGGTTATAGTGCGGTACCGCTTACAATGTAGATATTAGCGACTCCGTGGCTTACGGTATAAGTGTCCACACTGTACATAAGAACACCTAAAATTTTGGATGCTAAAAAGTATTGGCGTGCGATTTTTCAGACTTTCTGCCAAAGTTCCAGGTCCAAAACACCATGAATTGAGCCCCCACATCAGCCAAATCTATCATCTCCATGTTGTAACCCGCGCTTTATTCAATCAATACATTTGTAAGCGTAGCTGAGCCCAAAGAGCAGCTTTGCCGCAATACGAGAGTGACAAGGTGAAGAATATAAGAAATCCGAAAAGGCCATTTTCAATTAGATTGTTCACTTAATTATTCGCCTGTAGTAGAGACTGAGTGTTTCTTCATTGTGGTAGGTGGGTGGGTGCAAAACTTTATTAGCGTCCTTTTCTACTCAGCAAAAATTTTTTTGAATTGCCTGAAAAAAAGCTTTGCCGCAATGCGAGAGTCTAGTGAGGTGAAATATTAAAAATCTGAATGGGTCATTTTTAAACGGGCGTTGACTGTATTTGTCGTTGGGAAATGCAAATAGCTTGAATATTAAAATTACATTGCAAGTTGAATAGAATAGCAAATATTATTCGAAAAATATTCGAAATTTCGAATATTCACACACCCCTACTTTAGACGTTGTGGCTCCCAAGTTGAGGGTAATGGGACAGAGCGAAAGAAGTGAGCCATAAACAAGGCATACCATTTGTACAAAAACTAACAATAACAGATGATGCCAAGGTTAATCATAATATTGTCACACAACTACAAGAAAAAATGTTTTGTAAATTGTTTTCGTAAAAACACTAGTTGCTAAGTGTTGGTACATCAGACAGACTCTAGGCAACAGATTGAAGTGGTCTGTGCTTATGAAATGGCCTGAATAAAACCCAGAAGTGTAGCCAATGCCATTATCAACTTATCTTTTACACAGCTTGCACAAAGCAAACAAAGACAAAGGAAGGGTTACACATGGACGAGCGCAATCCATCCGTGTGCTTCCTTCTTTCGTCCTTGTTTGTTTCATGCAAAGTGGCCAAAAGATGAATTCATTCCAACTAGGCGGGCTAGCAGTTTTGCATCACAATGCAAGAGGCAACAAAGAAAAATTTCCACAAATGTGTCAACATAACAACGCTCCAAATAGCTATAGAAACTATAAGAGCTGGCATGAAGTTTCGGACCAAGTATTTGTCTGAGCTGAGGGCACATCACAGTCCCAGACATAGCGAGCAAGGTTCAAGAGTGAACGCTCAGAAGAGCTGGCCACATGAAGAGGACCACAGAAAGCTAATGAATGTTTAGGCTGAAGAGAAAGAAATCCTAAGGCTCGATCAAGTAAACCACAGTGAAAGCTTTCTCTAATAGAAAAGCGAGTAACCCCGTCGAATATCTGCACCTTGGTTGTCTCGTAGACAGCTAGCTTGGTAGTGGCTGTCAAAATTGTGGTTCAGGGTCAGTTTTAGCCGCATCCTGGCAAAGTTCTCTTGTTGAGACAGCTTCCAGTAAAGTGGCTTGATGACACTGCCAATAAACAAAACAACAGACAAAGTATGAAACACAGAAATAACAGAGAGAGACATGATGGTGTATATAATTTGACATGAAAAATTGGGGCACCCTTAAACTTTGCCTTAGGTTGCACCCAATAGCAATATCAGCTTGCCTTCCCAATCGCTACCTTGCATTTGCTTCTTGGTGGAGACCTAAACTGTGCCCCATAGAAAGCCAAAGGGCGAACACTCCCCATGCTTCTATCTTTATTTTCACCTACCTCAAATTTTCGCTCATGGTCAACACTGCTTTTTCGCTCACAACCACAGACGCTGCCACAACCGCCACCATCAACACCAAAATTTCTGCGAAATGCGCTCTCCAACATTCGCATTAAAACACATGCTTAAGGATAGCTGACAGCCAATGCACTAAATTTTTACCAAATCTTCACTCTCACTATGCAAAATGTAGTCCAACTTTATCTTCCCTGCGATGTTTAAAAGTTATTCACATATGTGCACAGTATCGGGATCAGAGCTGGCATTTAGAGTAAATACACTTGAAGGAACAAATATTTCGCACAGCTGAATGCACCGCCAAGAAGCAGCAGCATATGCAGCTGTAATCCCTAGTTCATTTCAATCAATTTGAAACGGCCAACAGGAACATATTTTTAGGCTTGTGTGAATAGTGAATATTAGGTTTGAAGTGAATAGCGATTTTGGTAGAATAATTTCTAATCAAATTGGAATAGTATATATATTGCATATTATCAAAAAATTGGCATTGTCATGACCTACTAACCTGTGCAATATATATATATATATGTCATGAAGCACTGTATCTTCCCGAGATTAAGGAGTGGTACAACCAGTTTAAAGATGACTGCACATCGGTAGAAAGCGAGCCCCACTCCGGTCGGCTATCAACAAGCCAAAGTGATCCAGTCATTGCCGAAGTGAATGCTGTGGTGATGCGGAACTGTCGTGCGACTCTCCAGAAAGTTACGGAATAAGTGGGCATCAGCACTCTATGCACATTCCATTATGACCAAAAATTTGGCCAAGAAGACAGTTACGGCGAAATTCGTGCCGAAACTGCTCACGGTAGCAAAAGCAACTTCGTGTTGAAGTCTCACAGGGCATGCTGGATTTCACAAGCAGTGACCCCAACTTCATGAACACCATTATCACTGGTGACGAGTCTTGTGTGCCGGGTACGTCCCGGAAACCAAATCCCAATTGTCACAGTGGAAGCATTCTACATCACCAAAACCAAAGAAGGCCCGCCAGGTGAGCAGCAACGTCAAAGTGATGCTGAGTGCTTTCTTTGACTCCTGCGGTGTGGTACATAATGAATACGCACCACAGGGTGAAAAAATCACAAGAGTACTACAGGGATGTCCTCCGTCGCATACGTGATGCTGTGTGGTGTAAGAGACCTGATGGTAGCCAACAAAAAACTGGCGCATCCTTCAGGACAATGCTGCTACACACTCCTCACACTTGGTTCAGGCCTGTTTGGCGAAAAGTCAGACTGCTGTAGTTAAACAGGCTCCTTACTCTCTTGATGTGGCCCCCTGCAACTTGTGGCTGTTTCTCAAACTCAAGAGAACATTGAAAAGAGAGTGATTTCAGACGAGGGAGGACATTATGGCTGCAACGACAGCTGAGCTAAGCTCTATTCCGAAAGAAGCCTTCTCAGAATGCTTCCAACAATGGCAGCACCGCTGGAAGAAGTGTGTGGAGTCCCAAGGAGACTACTTTGAGGAAGATTAAGTTTCCAACGCTCCAATTAGGCCAGTTTTTTTTTTTATTCTGCCAACGGTCTGATTTTTTTCTAATTGACCTCGTATGTAAGGGTATCTTCATCTAATCTTAAAGGGGGGGGGGGCTTTGCGGCAGTGTATATTTTTTCTGCATGCGCGTTTTCATGGATTTGCACAACTTAAAAGAGTTAATATGCTAACTAGCATACACCTGAATATGCACTTTCATGGTGCAGCACAACTTCACTGCAGTGAAACCACCTCTACAAAGTGTTTTATGCAGACTGATATGCATCTATTCATTCGTTTCGAATGATTTAAAATTTTCAATATTATGAATTCGATTCGAAGCAAATTCAAATACTAAATTATTCATTCGAATATTGGAAGCATTTGAATATTTGCACAAGCCTAATATTTTTTACTTGCAGTCATAGGCAAAAGTTTTATATAAACACCAAGTACCAAGTGCAGTCGAAGCTCGATAATTCTAACTCAAAGGGACCAGAAAATTGGTTTGAATTGAAAGAAGTTCCAATTAATGAAAGCTAAATGAACGGAGGGCTCACCATGCACCGGCGCATTTGCATGGAGCTAACACACGAGGGGGAAGTTTCAGAAGACTTCCATTTATTCACAAATCATAGGACATTCGTCATTAATGTAAGTAACCGGTGACGTATGTCTGCAAACCTTTACTTTGCAGCGAGTCAATCAATTTCGCACGCAGCTTGCAAAAATTTTTACCTCAGCTTCAGCATTCTCCTGGCAACAGATGTTGCGCGCAACAATGTCCAGCGCCGACACTCTCTAAAGACGACGACGACTGCGTTTTCGCTGCTACCCTCTGCGCCGCAGCCAGAGTATGGCCAGCACATGACGAGAAAGGAGGAGTGTCTCCACGTGGCGAGAAGCAGATTGGCGTTTGAGAAAGATTAACACTCTGCGGCAGCTTCTAATACTTATTTTTTGTTGATCTCTTGGCCCATAGCGTTGAAAGGTAAAGGGTCTCTATGTGGCAGAGACGAGAAAGGGAGAAGCGTGGCACGGGCGCGTCGCAGGTCGGCATTTGAGTGAGAGCCGACACTCGATGACAGCTTTCTTTTTTTTTTTTTTTCCTTCTTCACACGCAGCGTTGAGGTGTCAGAGGTGCCACCGGGAGATTGAGCGTGGTGCTGAAAGCATTTTCGGAGCACAGTGTGTTCGAATTAACTGTAGCAAGTGTTTGCGCGTTCTAATTACAGGGCGTTTTCACCTTTTGAAATACACATAGTTTTGTAGGACCACAGAGTCGGCCCCGCCGCAGTGGTTTAGTGGCTAAGGTACTCGGCTGCTGACCCGCAGGTCGTGGGATCGAACCCCCCTGCGGCGGCTGCATTTACGATGTAGGCGGAAATGTTGTAGGCCCATGTGCTCAGATTTGGGCGCACGTTAAAGAACCCCAGGAGGTCGAAATTTCCAGAGCCCTCCACTACAACGTCTCTCATAATCATATGGTGGTTTGGGACGTTAAACGCCACATATCAATCAACCACAGCGTCCATTCTAATTAACCAGAAGTTCAAATTAAGCATGCTCAAATTAATGAGATTTGACTGTAACTTAATCGAGTAACTAATAAGTAACTTCACTAACAAGAATGAAATCAGCATGTCTTTAGGTTCCATATGCATTAGATTATTATTGCACAAGTTCTTGATCTTGTGCAGTAATTGTGTTGCTGTACCTCTCCCACATAAGTTATTAGTAGGGCTGTGCAGATAGCAAAATTTTGGGTGCCAAAAAATTCGAATATTGAAGTGTGAGTGCAAATCGAATAGAATGTTTCTCAAACAATTCTTAAATATTTTTTAATATTTTGAAGTGAAATTTTAGTTTAAAAAGTTGGAGGTAATTCCTGAGCATATTGTTATAAGTTAGCAACATGAAAGGGTTTCTTTTTACTAGGATGATGGAAGAAATGGCGGGTTGGTGTTTCATAGTTGTCTTATCAAGAATGAGGCAATGCAGAGGCCGAATTGTACTTTTGTGCAGTATTTCGTACAACGAAAGTGTTGCCGACGACACTTTACGTATGGAAGGGCAAAAATACTATTTCCTTGGCTTCTCTTCCTATTTCAACTTCTGTGGAAACCAAATTGATGTTGCAGACAACAGTGGGCTCCCTTTGAGTTTGGAGTTCCATATCTGCCTCATAGATGTCAAAATATAAGAACACATCTGAAATTATGGATGCTGAAAATCTTTGGCGTCCGAGTTTCTCTTCTCCCTGCCCAAATTTCAGGTCCAAAACAGCATTCATTGAGTTACCAACTCTGCCACATCTATCATCTCCATGTTGGAACCAGCGTTTTCTTGAGTCAAAACCTTTGCATCCATAACTAAGCCTGAAAGACGGTTTTGCCGCAACACGAGAGTGTGATGAGATGGAGCATTTGAAAAATCTGAAGGGGCCACTTCCAATGGGACATTGAACGCACTTGTCTTCAAGAAAATTACCTGTAGATTAGCCTAAAAGGAAGCTTTGTTGCAATACCTGTGATGACATGAGGCATATTGAAAATCTGGAAGGGTCACTTTCATTCAGACGTTGACTGTATTTTATGTCTTTGGATCGAATAGTAAACACTATTAAGGGGGGACACGGGTCTTAGAAGGCCAAAAATCGCAAAAAAATCGACTCTTTGAAGCTGACATTTTCGGAATCTGCGCCTATTTTTGAACTTATCTGAGAAGTTTCTAGCTTCTCGTGTCATTATTTGTGGCGCAAAATCAATTTATAATATCCCCCTGTGAGATAAATGTGAGCGCAAATTGACGCTAAAATCGCGCTTCTTCTGCACCAAACTATTGCCGTTACACACGAGCTATCGTGTTCATCTTGGTCTCGTTTGGAAGGGTCGTTCTTCATCTTCAATTTCCCGCCACCGCTGGCTCACCTTGCTCATTGGTGTTTTAGCAAAAACGCGTCATCGAGAAGCACTAGCACGCGATTCGATTGGCTGCTTGGGGCACGTGACCAAACCTAGGCATCCGATTTACCAAGGGGCGCTTTCGGCGTCTGCTTCACCATCGTGACGCGCACGGACATGCGCCATTTTGTCATGGTGCTACTGACTGCTTGCGGCAGTAAAGAAGTTCCGTGCTACAGTAATTTGTGAAGCGGGTGTGGCAGTCGTTCGTTCACTGTGAACATCGGAAAGATCCCCGCTATGGCTCAGGACAACAAGGATAACGAACTCAACGCGGTCAATGGCGG